TGGATGCGCTGCAGCATATAAATAGAATACATTTAGATTATAAGGGTGGCAAACTCTCTCAAAGAATATTAATATTTAATACAGTTAAATATTCAGTTATCGAACTCAAGATCTCTTATTAAGCTAGTACCAATATTTTAAAAACTAAACTAGATATTAAATTGAAAAGGTTAACGGGTCATTAGTTTAACTGGTTAGATTGATGATTCAATTAGTAACATAATATTTAAATAAAAATTAAATAAAGATAATATTAAATGCAAATATATATATATATATATATATATATATAAAAGAAATAAACCCTTATCATATCTAGTTGTTAATAACACAATATGATCATAAGTCAAAAATATAATAAATTATAATATTATAACTTGTCAAGTATAAATAAATCTTTGTTAAGTCATGCATAAATAAGTTTAAAAGTATATGTATTTACACTTATGACTATCAACATTATTTTTTAGAAAAAATGTCTAAATCATATTATATACATGTAAAGTGTCAAAAATAAAGTTGACTTTTTAATATGGCATGTTCTTTTTTAAAAAAATCCTAGTTTTTTAAACCGTTAGCCTTAGTTTATATTATGTTTAGATCCATTTGATTTTTTTTTAAAAAAAAAATTGTTCCAATTCTCAGCTCAACTCTAATTCTAACTCAATGTTGGCTCAACTTATTTGGTTTAATCATGAAAATTGTTTTTTTTTTTATCTAAATTGAGCCATTAACAACTCGGTTGACTACTTGGTCCAATTTTAATCTTAAAACAGTGGCTAGCACATCTTCTAACCGATCAATCCAGATTAGTCAAGGTCACTGAGAGTACACGCCCAAAAAAAAAAAAACAAAAAAAAAAAAATCAAAGAGCTTCGCTTCAAGTGGAATTTTCACAATGTCAGTTGGCATAGAAGGCTTGAAGACGAAGGATGGTAAGGCAATGGCGTAGCAGTAAAGGGTGGATGAAGACGAAGTGCTTCTTGGACCAAGACAAACATTGAGGCAAGCAAGGGTTGACTATACTGTGGAAACAAGTTTCTCGCTTCGGGGAGCAAGGCTGTCACCATCGTATGTGAAAGATGCCAAAGGCCTAAGCCTCCTCAGGACTCTGGTCTGGTCCCTTCATTTTCATTTGTTAACGTTAATTAGGGTCAACCAGTAATTAATCAGCCACGCCACATGATATGCCATCCCAATCCGTAAGGCCTTATCCCCCCAACAACCCTTTTTCGTCTTTTGTATTTCTTCCTCATTCTCTCACTCCTCCTTTCTCACCAACTCCAGATTCAATTTTAATGTCAATGTTCATCAAGCTCAACCATAATTTAAAATGTACTTTACTAACCAGTTACAATATACTTTTGATATATACTCCCTGCATTAAAAAATATAAAATATTTTTAATTAAATTTTATTTTTAATAAAGTCATTATCTACTTTCAAATTAATTATATCTTTTTATATTTACCTCTATTAAATACTCTACAATAAATATAAAGTTATTATCAATAAGGACATTAAAAAAATGATTACACTTTAAAAGATTAAAATTACCTTACACTTTTGAATATCTAATTTCTAAAAAACGAAGGGAGTATATATATATATATATATATATTAATCTTTGTTCAAAATTATTTGTTGAGGATAATCATTTTGGTTAATGATAGGGGTAATTAAGATAATTAGAATTTATTGAAGATATTAAGATTATCTATTAAGGATAATTGAATAAGGATTTCATCCATTAGTATTAGCATATATTATTTTATTTTATCTTTATCTTAGATTTATTTATATTCAATAAAATAAAATATTATCATTCTATCAATATCTTTTTAAATTAGATTTGAAATTTATATTTAGATTTACCATTTCATTATTTTTTTAGTTTTTTAGAAGTTTATAAATAGAGTTACTAGAGTTTTCATGTGTATTTAATTTTTGATAAATACTTTTTCTTCCTTTCTCTTTCTCTCTCTCCCCTTTTCTCTGTCCATATCACATTAGATATTCAGGTTTATTAATATATTAAATATAAATAAATATTATCTATGAAATTTAATTTTAAAAATATTTTTCAAAATGAAATTATCCCTCTCTCTCTTTTTTGGATGCGACCAATTAGTTTACGAAATCATCCTCCCTCTTTTTAGCCCTTCTCCAAGGTATTCTTTTCCCAATATTCGAACCTCATTACCACAGGTAAAGTCTATTGTAGGGTTCACTCTAGACTCTAGCGTCATTGAGCCAACTATGAAAGCCCACCATGTGTTTCAAAAAGCAACTGACCTGCCCAAATAAGACCACATTGAGAACCTCGGCCCATTTCAAAGGACAATGTAATTTAAGAGAAGACGACACGTTGCGGTCAATTGAAAGAATAATACATTGAGGAAGGAACAAGATGTAGAACACGTGATGGTAAAAGCGTCAATTTCTTCAATGATTGTTGGATATTACCCCAAGCTAAGATCAAAGATTGTTAACGTTGTACTGTAGCGGAATGGGTTCTTGATGGAACTTGGGATTTGACAAGACTTGTTGAATTAATCCCAACAAATCTGATTCAAATGTTAGTTGCCGGTATTCCTCCTAAAGGCCATTATGGGCTTACATGATTGAACAAAATTCTGATGCTGATTATCATTCAATTTACACGCTAATATCGAAATGTAGGGGAACAGAGAGAATAAGATTTTTCTCGTGGCTAGTTTTCCACAATAGATTGCCTACTAATTTGCGGAGAAGCTTATGGTCTCAACGCTCTCCCCTTTGAGACTGTTCTCATGCAAAGCAGCTCTGGTATTCTGTGTTAAAACAGTCGGTTCATGACCGGATTTAATCTTGCTCTCTATCAGATTGGGGAATCATGAACTTGAAGGAAAAGCTAAGTTATAACAGTAACGAAGATTGGATTTGCTCTTGGTGTTGCTTGCTGGAAACTTTGGCAGTGGAGGAATGATTTTATTTTCAATCCTGACTTTCATAAACCTCATAATCCTTTACTGACTCTTACATGCATTAAAAAAAAAAAATTCACAAGCGGGGAAGTCAGAACACAATGGTAGTGTCTCTGGTTGCTCAGATTTTTTCAAACTTAATGTGGATGGAGCTATGTCAATTTGGAAGCAATGTGCTACCATTGAAGGAGTCTTAGGAGATTTTCCGGGTGCTTGGATAGTCGGATTTTCTCACTATCTCGGCTGAACAATGAGCCATTCTCAAAAGGGCTCAATTTAGAAACATCATCCTTGAAACTGATTTTAAATTGATAGTCGACTCACTTACTACCACTTCTAAGGACTTTGATTGTCATGATCTAACTATAGTAGGAATCAAGCGCCTACTCTCTTTTCAGTGAGAAGTTGTGATTCAACACATTCCAAGAGAGGCAAATAATGTTGCAGATAACTTAGCAAAAGTTGGTTTATTGCTTTATTTGGTTTTGCCTTCTTTGACATGGCACCTCGACACTTGAGGGCCCTAATGCAGCATGAAGCTATGAGATACCAATCCCCTTTGATGTAATTTGATCTTAATTTTGGGCTTTAGCCCTCCCTCTCTGCTCCCCAAAAACAAAAAGTAACATAACATTTTAAGACCCAAATTTTTAAGACGTCATATTAAAGGCATGTGTGAAATAAGAAGAATCGCACTAGAAGCCTCCTGAAAATGTATTTGTATTAAAGGTTCAAAAGATTTAGATATAATTCTTTTTTTTTATTCAAAAGATGGAATTTTCCTTTGAAAAATAAATGGACTCTGATTGTGATTTACAAATATTTTATTGTAAATTTTATTTAGATGATTTGTAAATTTTATTTCCTTCAACAAGTATAATCCATATGGACTTTGTGAAACAAATAAACATTTTATTATAAATAAATGAATTTTGAGTATTGTTTAGGAAGTTTCTATTGTAAATTTCATCTAGGTAATCGCAAGTTACTAAGTTTCCTCTCATTCAACAAGTTGCGACGTGTATTATGTGAAGAATAAATATTTTATTATTAATAAATGAACTTTAAATGTTATTTACAAAGTTTATGTTATAAATATCATCTGAATAACTTATAAAATTTTTCTCCTCTAACAAGTATAAATTATATAGACCATGTGAAATAAATGAATGTCTTGTGATAACTAAATATATCTTGAATATTATTTGTGAAGTTTTTATTATAAATATCATTTGGTAACTTATGAATTTTCTTTCTTTCAATAAGTATAAATTACATGAATTATGCAAAATAAACAGATATTTTGTTGTCAGTAAGTTGACTTTAAATGTTATAAATAGATGATTTGTTGTAAAATTTGCCTGAATAATTTCTTTTTTTTAATCAAAAAACTTAATTAAAATAGAGACATTTGGGCTTACAAAGTTATGTTGGATTCTATTAGGCGTTTAATGCAGATATATTGATTCCATTGGCATTTAGTGCGATTTTCGCTATGAAATTCATCCTGATTGGCTTTTTAACTTTTATTTTTTTTCCAACTAAACTTTGCTACCTTATAACTTATCCATATAAAATATAAGATTTTTTAATTGAATTACATTCCAATAAATTAATTATCAGTTAATTGTCTTAAAAATAATATAATTTTTTTTATATTTGCCCTAATTTACTTAAAAGTGAAAACTTGATTAATTTATTTATAAAGGTATTTGTTTTTTAAAAAACTCACTGATTGCACATTAAAAAATTACATTACAAAAGCCTTCTTTTTTAAATACTTACCTTAAAATACACACATACACACTCTCTTTAGTTTAAGAAATTATATAAGTATTTTTTAATTAATTTTAATTTAAAATATAAGTAAGTTAATGCTTGGGAGATTTTTTTTATTTTACCTTTATATTTATTAACATAAACGTGAATTTATGATCTTTTTTTATTCATCATAAATTCAAACTGAAAATAAAAAAAATAATATATATTTTAACGAGAGCGAGTGAGAGCGCGGGTTAAAATTGGACACTAGGGAGTATCTTTAGGTTTAGCCATGGTGCCAGACCACCGTCCGTACAAAAAACTGCCACTCCGTCTTCCCAACTACCATTCTCACCAACACGACGACCCGCCGCTCAACTCTGTTCTCACTTCCTTCCCTATGGACCTTCTTTCCCGCCACCGCTCTACGCGTCTCCTCCTCCTCGTCCCCATTTTTCCTTCTACATTTCCAGAATGCCCGACCCACAGCTTTCTGCCTCTGCCACTCCTCCTCCTCCTCCTCCTCCTTCCGCTATTGCTTCGTCGTCTTCGACCACTTCACAGATCCCACTTGATGAACACGGAATCGGACATCCTCCATTTCAGTCGCCGGAGTCCGACGTACAACCCTGGCATGTTCTCCCCAACTTTGGAACACTCAATTGGGATTTCGTCAATGTATCTTCGCTTGCCAGGGATGATGCCTGGTCTTGTGTTGTGGTACTCTTGACCTTTTGGTTATTCGGTACTGAGCATTCCGTTGGTTTCAATTATGCTTTTAAGTTATTTTTTGTATGCTTGTTTGCTTAATGGTGAATTTAAGTTTTAATGTTTCAGTTTCGATGACTATGATTCTGGGAGTTTATGGGCCTACAACCCTACTACTTAGTCCCTATTCGTCCATTCTTCTCCAGCCCAGCCCTCTATTCGTCCAATCTATGAAGGTCAGTTACTACTTACTACTTACGGATATTTCTTTTCCTTGCTCTTTATTCTATGGGAATTGGATAGTTCTTCCCCTGTGGTTTGCCCTCTGGCTACTTAACCACCCTCTACAGAAATTGGGTCATAGTTTGAGCAGAATTGATCATTTTAGAATTGAAATTTATTTGCTTTATCCTAGCAAGTAGCAATAACATTAGGCTTATGTTTGGAAACCCGTTTCTAACCAGTTTTTGCAACCTTCGAGACAAAGCTGATATTTTAGGATTATTCTGTCCATAGTTTTTATATTCATGTGATTACTTTTGATAAAATCTGAATGTAAGAAACTGCTAGATGGCTGAGGGGTGATGTTCATGCTGCGGTGGGCTTGAATGCCACATTTTAAATATAGAAGCAGATTGATTTTAGACCAAACCATAGTTTCTGAAATTAAATTTCCCTTATTTACTTCTAGTAGTATCTAAGCAAGTAATTTGGATTTGTTTGTGTTAGGTAGAAAACTTGGTTGGGTCAGTGACGGGAGTTATGCTTTATGGTACATACGGATCTCCATCTCTTGATGTTTTTACCAACTGGGAAGAAAGTTATGAAGCTTCCATTTCATCTTTTACAAGCAAGGCAAGTATGTTTTCATTCTTTTGTAATCTGTTGTCTCTCTCACCCTCTCATTCTCATGACATGATACTGAAGTTCTGGTTCTAGTTGTTAGAAAACAGTGAAGTGAGTGTTTAAATGCTGAAGTTTATTACTGAATCCTCATATATTTGTGGTTAATTAAGCTAATACTCTCTTAACTTATTTTCTGTAGGAATGGAAATATTACCTGAACAGAGGATCTCAAGTGAATATTTCATATCACCTGAGCTCTAAGAGCTCCTCAATTTATCTATTAATCATTGAAGGTATGCTTTCCATAAGAGATTGTTGCGTGGTTCTCCTTTGTTTAATAATGACAATGCTTATCAATAATAGAACTGCTTTCTTAACATGCTAAAGAATTGCTACAAAGTTTGCACCTTTCAGAAGTATCAATTTGCATCAATAAAACTTCTATCATAAATTCTTGTTGATCAGGATCTGAAAGAGCATTACTGTCTGAAAACAAACCAAATGAGCATTTGCGGATAAACTTTCCTTCTGAACTTTGTTTGCAGAAATCTTTCTAGTTCAGCCAGTCTGCACTTCTTCTCAAGACAAATTCATATATGAACTATTGAATTTATGAGATCACCCTGTTTTCATCGAGACCTTTGCATTTAAGACGTTACTCTCTTTTGTTTGACTTTAATCTACAATTGTATACTCACCAGTTATATTATTTCATTTATACCAAATTAACTGAAAGCACAAATTCAGCGAGCATGCTATTCTGATGCCCTTTCTTGCAGGGGATGATGGCTTTACCCAGTGGCTTGAGGACCTAACATATCCCAATAGCACTCTCTCGTGGAATGTAGTCCATGGTACAACGGTGACAGGAAATTGCATCTTTATCTACACATGTCCTATACTGATGTCAATTACTGTTTTACTACAGGAACTGGCATGATTACACAAGACATATTTCTTTCATCAAGCTATTACGTGATAGCGAGAAATTTGAATGAGGAAGCTGAGGTATTTCTGCAAACCTCTGATAGATTTTCTCTTCGTGTTGACTTGGCTTGATAGAAACTGAGGAATGAATTGCAAGGATTAGCTTCATTGATAATGAGTGTTAAAGTGCTATTTTTTTGCCCTTTAGGACATTTCAAATCATGGTATAAATTTATAATATCCTTTTACGTTAGGAATTCTTACACACCGCTCAGTTTATATGTCATGTATACACTGGCTAGTAAAATAGAGCCAAATCATGTAAAATATCTCACGCAACATTCCATTTATGTAATAGTGCTACAATGATTGATAGAATGCAGACCTCACACAACATTTATACAATAATGGAATACCAGTTAATAGAATGTGAGACCTAATTATATATATAAAGTTGGTACTATTTTTATTAATAGTAGGTGAATTTCATTTTGTTTGTAGACCTTTTTTAATTCAAGAAAGTATAAACGATATGACTCACCCTGGATATCCTGGAGTTTTTCTCCTTAAAATAGTTGGATAAAGTTCCATTGATTGTGATTTTAACCCACTTCGCTTGTATTGTTGCTTTTGTCCTCATTGCTGGTTATCACTATTTACTTGAATCATTCTTCTCATTGTATAGGTCAAATTGAGCATCAAAGTAAGAGCCTCCTTGTATAATACAACGAATGCTTACTATAAATGTGCTTTGATGAATAACCCATGTCATGTTAATATCTTCTTTCCTGATGGGAATGCAGCTATTTTAACTTCTGATTCACAGCAGGTATGATTACTATTCATATATACTCAATGCAAATGGAATAAATTCACAGTTATTCTCATACATTGAGTATGTTTGGGAAGGCTGTACTCGTGTCTTGAAAGTTTATTTCTTCAGAATATTGCAAAGGGCTGACTTGTTCAAGTTATCTAGTCAGTTGACTATAAATTTCAATTTCGTTAATATATCATGAGAAGGGGATGATTTCTTCAGATTGATTATAGGTAAACAGATAATTCAAGCAAGAAATCTTTATGAAAGTCAAATAAAAATTCTGGAAATCTAATCCTGCTACCGTGGGAGAAGATATCCCTAGGCTGAAGTGCCTTATTGATATCCCTAATTGCTTGTGATAAACCCTAAATTACCCCAAAGAATTACAACTTAACATAAACATGATAAAAAACTTACAACCCTATCGTCTCATTCTGCATCAGACTGTCTCATGTTTTCTTTTCTTTGGTTTAGAATACTTCAAGGGATGAGTGGCACGTCAAATTGTCCTTTGGACCAAGATGGATCTCATATATTCTTGGCATAAGTATGCATTTCATTCAAATATTCAGTCTCCTATTCACTGCTTGAACACATAACTGATTTTATGTGTTACTATTCTACCTTTTCCACCACAGGCGGAATGACTTTGCTGATGTATTTGAGCTTCACTCTAATAGAGAAGTTCCAGCAAGCCCTCACAGACAGAGCAGGAGTTCATCTCGGGGAAACAGCAACTCAGAGAGCCCCTTTGCTTTCTCACAAAGATGATGATCTTTCAAGTTGGGGTTCATCTTATGATTCCATGTCACGTGATGAGGAGGATCTTGACTTTCTCACGGCTGGTTCCATTGACGGAAAGTCTTTAGTTGAAGGTGAAACCAGTAATAATACCCGGCGTCTTTGTGCCATTTGCTTTGATGCTCCAAGGGATTGCTTCTTTCTTCCATGTGGACACTGTGTTGCTTGTTTTGAATGTGGAACCAGGTAATTAATTTCCACTTCCTCATTTGAGTTACATCATATTATGTTCATATTTTTCTTGGAAGCGCACCTAAGGTCAAGGTGAACAAAGGGAAAAGAGATGAAATTACTACGCTTTCGAGATTTCATATTGTGATGTCAAAGTTAGTTTGCTAAAAGTAGTAAAAGATAGAAGAGGGGACCAGTGAAGGTTTTTTCCCCCCTGATTTATTGGGATGGTCCTTATCCTGACTTTATTTAAATCCCCACCACCCAACTACCACCAGAGGCCCAGAGCCAAGGATAAGTATGATTTCTCGTAGATGGGGTTTCCTTTTCCTAAGAAACATGGGTTTAACATGCATAGAAATTTTCATTATCTTTTTCTCTTGAAAATAGTGTATTGTTTTCATGTTTGAAGAGGCACGTACAAGCATGTTTTGCAAAAGCTACATGAAAGAGTTTTTAACATGAAAACAAACACACCGATAATCTACGCATTAACAAACCTGTTGAGTAGCTTATCTTAAATTCATGCATATTCAATGTATGTTCCAGATAGCACTTGATATATTGATTTCTATACAGCACTCAAGTGTGAGTAGTGATTTTAAGTGACAGATGAGATGAAGAGGTAATCATCTGGTCTCAAATCAATACTTGATATTACTACAAAGATTAAAAATAAGCATTCTAGTACAGATTCAAGATGACTTTTACATCGATCGCAACTTTCAATTCGTGATCTAAGCATGACGATGATTTTCTCCTCTCATTCTTACTTAAAACTAGTTTTAAATACAAGTCATTTGGGGCTATCTCAAAAGAAAACAAAATTACTCTCTGGTATACCCCAATACATCTAGGTGTGAGCGTGTGTGTACATACATGTAGGATTTCAACTAAATCGGAAATTGAAGTACCATAATAGTTAGCTGGTGGAGAATGTTGTGGGTCGTAAATGAAATGACGAATCTATGTTTACAGGATAGCAGAAGCAGATGGGACTTGCCCTGTTTGTCGTAGGAAGACCAAGAAAGTAAGGAAGATTTTTAATGTCTAAGCATTATTAGTGTGAGGCTAAATGAATGTGGTTTTAGGCTAAATGAAGAAAAGACAGATCAGTTAGTGCATCATCATCTGTTTCATCAATTGTCAATGTCAGCTCATGGTAGCTCCCGGTAATGACCATTTGTGGGGGGAACATGTTGCTTGTATATGTTTCCTTTTGGGGAGTATATATACAGTCGGGCCCTTGAAAAATTTGCCCCTTTATTTTATTTATTTTTAGACGCAAATTAAGTCCTTGAAAATTATTCATTATTAATATTTCCTACACATATCTTGGTTATTGCAAATCTAAACAATGATGGTGATGGATTATATAATATTTTGGCGAAATTTGATGTTAAATATTTTGGCCGTCAGTTTTATATCTCGAGATCATAACTAGTATTTTCCATTTTATAATATGAAACTCGGTATTCCTGATTATGGCTACCACATTTATTTATAAAGCATGAACAGTATAACTTATATTTATATTCCATACAATACACGTTAAATATTAACTAATTTCATATATATATATATATATATATATATATATAATGTAAAATCTATACAACGCCACTCGGAAGTCGTATAGAAGTGTGGTTTACCCATATGGCTAATATTATAGCTATTTTTTAGATTGTCCATGAAATTTCAATCACAATTAGTTTATTTTTTTTTTTCATTAGCAATATTCATTATTATATAAAATATCAATCAATATAACAAACTCAAGTATTAATGAGAAAAAAAGTGATTCATACCTGACTCTATGCAAATGTAATGGAAGAGGTGTCTAATTGTAGTAATAATTCAATTATTTGATACACACACACATACAGATACAGAGAGAGGTACCCATTATCCTATTGGGATTTTTTTTTTATAAAAACAGTGTTGCCATAATTAATTTAGGAACCGAAAGTTGATTGTCATTAATCTAATTAAAATGTCTTCCATTAATGTGTGTTGTGTGATTTAAAATTTTATTGTTTTTTTTTTCTTTTTTGGGTAAAATGGGCAACAGCCCAATATTATTTATTCAGCAAAACTTCTCTAGGGAAGAAAAACCCCAGAGAATCACTATACAAAATCTCCTGTAAATCATTAGAGGTCTAACAACCCTCATCAACTCAAGAGAAAATCTCAGACTATGATTGGCCAACGAATCAACACATCTATTCCTTTATTATATCTAATATAGAAAGATGATTACATTGTTTCTTATTCAGTTCCAACATAAGCCTATTATTTCTTTGTACATCATCTATAGGCCTCTCCAGCTTGTTTATAACAGTCAACGGATCCCCATCCACAATCAGTTTGTCTACACCAAATTCCTTCGCAAGTTTCAAACCACAAAAAGCTCCCCACAATTCAGCATTAATTGCTAAACACGCCTCCAGATTAAGCCCAAATTCATTCAACCATTCCCCCTTCTCATTCCTCAATAATCCTCCACACGCAGCAAAAGAAGAATTCCCTTTCGCAGCACCATCAAAATTCAACTTTATCCACCCTTGGCTAGGAGGCATCCACGAAACATTAATAGTCCCATAGCCACCACTTGTCATTACACTATCAGTCTTCAAATTAATTAGTTCCCACACATATTGTCTAATAATTTGTTTGTGTCAGCACATTAGACAAATCCTTCTTTAAACAACATCTTATTCCTCCATTGCCATTGCCACTAACAAGTTACAACAAATAGATGCCCCAACTCTTCCCCCTTGCTCAAATTCACACCAATCCATTCCTTCATATTTAACCGGAAGAATTTGTCCTTAACTTCAACACAACACAGCTCAAGCCAAATTTTTGAAGCAACTTCACAGTCTCTCAGTGCGTGTAGTAAATCTTCATCAGACCTCCCACATCTCAAGCAAACTGGAGATCCTCTAATTATCTTAGCTCTCCTACATGAAGTAAGAAGCCTGTTCTAATAAGCTAACTAGAGATGAACCTGTATTCTACAAGGACCCTTCCATGACCATATCTTCTTCCAAACACTATCATGCTTCATCCCCACACCCCCAACCATCCACCTGTACATTTCAGCTACAATGAACTTCTCCCCAACCGAGCCTCACCGTCTGATTTTGTCCTGTCCAAAATCATCACAGGGCCTTAGAACCGCCCTTAATCTCAACAGAACATCGTCACTTAAATAGTCTTTTAAAAACATGAACTCCCATTCCCTATATTCATTCAATAAATCCACAACTTTGCATTCAAGTAATCTACCCATTGGCTTAGTATGGCATAGATCAAAAAGAGGTTTCTCATCCCCTAACCATAAATCAATCCATAAATTAACCTCTTCCCCATTTCTACATTCCCTTGCAACATTTTCAATAATTTTTGGCCAAACAAAAGCCAAGACTTTCCATAATCCAGTGTCTGTATTCTTCACCATTACCTTTTGTAGAAGATTCTCATCTTGGCCATATTTACCATACAAAACCTTTGAGCACAGGCTATTCGGCTTTACAGTCATATTCCACCCAATCTTAGCAATCGGAGCAACATTCATCACACACATATCTAATCCCATAGCCCCCCTCGTCCTTTGGTTTGCACAACACCTCCTAACTAATAGCATGTAATCTCCTCTTATCCTCAGTGGAACCCAAAATAAAGTTCCTCTGTAACTTCTCAAATTCTTTGCAAACACCCACCTGAATTTGAGTATGTTACATAGAAAATACTGCCATCTGAGAGGTAACAAATTACACAAGTGTCAACCTTCTAGTTAGAGATAAATTTTTCCTCTTTTATCCACTTAATTTGGTCTATAATTTATTCACCAAATATTAAAATTTATTTCTAGAGGCTCTACCATTAGTAATATAAGCCCCAAAGTACCTTTCTAGCTCTTTTTTACACTGAAATTCACTAATATCACATAATTCCTTCCTCCTCAGCCCCAAAACATTATTTGAAAAGTAAATATTAGTTTTCAAATTGTTTACCTTTTGACAAAAAACTTGATCAAACAACTCCAGATAGCTCATAACATTGTGCATTTGGTTCACATTCGCTTTACAAAAAATCAACAGATCATTAGCAAATATCAAACGCTAAATTAGAGTTTTACTTCTACCAATTAGTAAAGGTTTCCATCTACCCGCTCTGCTGCATCAAGAATTAAATGAGAAAGCTTCTCCATCCCTAAAACAAACAAGTAAGGTGATAGAGGATCCCCTTGCCAAAACCCCCTTTTAGGTTTAAACCATTCCCTCCTTTCTTAATTCCACATCACAGCCATATTTACAGTACTTAGGTAGTTTTTAATAATCCTAATTACATGATCAAGTAATCCAATCTTATTTAACACTTCAAGAATAAATGCCCAATTCATCTTATCATATGCTTTCTCAAAATCAATTTTTATAGCCACATATCAATTCCTCCCTTTCATTCTCTTCATCATATAAGCTAACTCTTTGGAAATTACTATATTATCGTGAATGCTATGACCAGGGATAAAACTAGCTTGATAAGGGGAAACAAGGTTATTCATTAGCCCTTTAAGCCTTTGCACTAACGGTTTTGTCACCCCTTATATAACACATTACATAAAGCAATTGGTCTAAAATGAGAAAACATTTTAGGAATATCAATCTTGGGAACCGTAACAAGTAATGTTTTGCTAATTTCCTCAAGCTTCTCCAAGTATTCCACAATAATCTTATAAAATCAATAACATAAGGACCAATTACCTCCTAATTTTTCTAATAGAAAATAGCCAGCTATCCATCCTCACTAGGAGCTTTAAAAGGCCTTATCACTGAAAATGCCTCCTTTATCTCTTTGTCCTCTAATGGCTTACTCACTCAAGAAAATTCCTCAACAATAATATGAACCCAAGACTGATTTGTGAAGATCCAGTTTCTTTACACCAAATCATCATCAAACAGTTTTTGATAATACATTTTAATCAGCCTGCAAATTTCACTATCATCATTAACCCAGCAACCATCCTCATTTTTTAACATAGAGACCTTATTTCTCCTTCTTCTTACCAATGTCTTCATGTGGTAGTATCTTGTATTTTGATAACCATATTCAATCCAATATCTATGTGATTTTTGAAACCAAAGTAACTTTTCTTGCTATAATGTCTCATTTAAACTGATTTGGAGTTCCTCTTGCTGCTTCTATAACACAACATCTTTCCAGTCAACGATCCTTTGCACACACTGTAATTTAACTTTCAAATTCTTAATACTAGCCTCAACAACTACAAACACTTCATGATTCCACTATATCAGATCCTGCCTTAGTTTCGCTAAAGCCCAGGTGTATCCATATCACTACGCCGTCGGCTTAACAAAAAAATCACTAAAGCCTATGAGTCATCCATGCAGCCACAAATCGAAAGGGATGCTTCCCTCTTCTGTACCAGACATGTGAAGTATCAATAATTAAGAGGACTATGATCAGAGTTTAGCCTTGTACCCACGTTAATCAAAGCGTCTGGGAAAGCGCATTATTATTGAGCATTACAAAGACTTCTATCAAGTCTCTTAAAAATTCTATTTGATCCCTTCTACTTTGGACCCTTCTATATAAAAAACAGCCCTTTTGCTTCAATATCAATAAGCTCACAGTCATTAATCCATTCACAAAACTTGTTACAACTTCTCACATTCACCCTAGCTCCACCTCTTTGCTCCCTAGTTGATGCAATCACATTAAAATCACTAGCCAGCTTATTCAAACTTTCCTTTAATCTACTAAGTTCTAGCCAAACCTCATATTTACATTCTTTATATGGACAATCATAAACAATAGTAAAATACCACTGAGTACCACCAGGGATGTCAAAACAGCAATGCACAAACAATTTGTGCTTCTTGATGACATGCAATCCAAGATCTTTGGCATTCCATAGAACCCAAATTCCATAGTAAAACCATGAGCTTCAACTAACTCAAAAAATCTAAAGTCAAACTGACGTATTGTGTGCTTGGCAGTAATGTCACTAATTCTAGGCTTAAACAAAGCCAACACATCAGGTTTTTCATCCTTGCATAGCCTTCGTAATGAGGAAGCAAAGCCTTTGCTAGCTGCACCCCTAAAGTTCCATGTAATAATCTTTATGATAACAAATTAATAATCAGAAGCACTTCCTTCCTCACACTCCAGCATAACCCCTTTACTTTCGGAGCCACCCTCACTATTCATATCATTAATATTCTCATCCTCCTCCCTTAACATCATAGTACTATTACTAACCCTATTACCCCTACTATTACTATTCCCAGCAACCAGAGTTCGCATCATACCCTTACCCCTATTTAAGCCCTATAAGCTCCCTACACTATTAGCACCACTTTTTT